TTTTATCCTTTAGTTGGTATAGAATTGTTAAAAAAATTAAAAGACAAAAAATTGAATATTGAACAAGACAGTACAGTGTGGAAATTGAAAATTGAACAGGACAGTACGTGATGCATATTGGAAGGTAATAAGAAAGATAATTCTTTTTGATCTTTTTAGACAATTTCTAGGGTGGCTCATGGGCCCCAGGAGGAGAGATCACAGTAAGGTGGAATTACATCATTTATTAAAAAGAAATAAGAACTCAAGAGAGAAAGAAGGAGTTTAAATTTACCTAATAAAATACCTTCCTTAGCCTTGTTTTTGACAACAGATAAATAATGTGCAGATGTAGTGACAAGGTGTAGAGCAAGGCACATCTCCCACACCAGCCCCATGAACACCCAATAATCATCACACTTATGAACCAAAAGGATCTTTATTCTATTTTTATAAGTTATAATAAAGATTGTTGTCATGATGAAATAAATGATTAAAATTTAATTCATTTTATATAGGTCATAAAATCCATGCCATCAATTATATCTTGGTTAGTATAACAGATTGAATCATATCATAACTTTATCATAATCATATCATAACTTCATGATATATAAAGAAATTTGATGTCAGGAAAATATCTAAAAGAATGGCCTGAATACTTCTTTTCTGGTATTTTTTTTCCATTTTTCTGAAAGTTTCCTTCTGTTATAATTCAGTTATCAATTTCGTTTATCAATGGACATGTATGCAGTTCTAACATACATTTCAAACTAAATGTACTTGAGAAGTTCACTTGAAGTATGCACTTTAGCGTAAAACGGGAAGTTGCATAAACTTATCTATGTCCTTCTCGATTCTGACCATCCTTATTGCTATTCTCCTTTCAGTACTCAGAATAAAACTCAATCTCTCGGCTTAATCTTTGTCAGTGCCAGATTTCGTATTTGTGCCATTTAGTATTTGTGCTCCATCAAGTTTCTTAACCTTTTTGAGGCCATAGATTCCTTCTGTGAATTTTGCTTAAAAGCATTTACATCAAGTGCCTGTGGGCACTCGGCGGCCTGACACCCAGCCGGCTCATCCTGCAGGACTGCCTGTGGAGCCTTCTCCGTTGGCGAGAAGCTGGTGCAGGCCTTGAACAAGACGCGGCAACGAGTCCCGCTGCCTAGGGCCCGGGAGCTGGCCGCCCTGGGAGCCGGGGGTGAGGCAGGACGGCCAGAGCCTGCCGTGCTGAGCTGCCTTACCTGCGGAGCTCGCCAACCCCGGCGCGGAGCTCATGGACCCGGCAGGGTCTTCCCCTTCCCGGTGAACCAGCGGGATCCCGCTCCTGTGTCCATCGCCCAGGCTGGTGCCCGAGCCTTGGGTGCTGTGGTTGCTGGAGCAGCCCCAGCTGGTGCCAAGGTGACCTCCCCTCTGCACTTGGGCGGCCTCCCTGCCAAAGGTGGTGACCACAGGACCCCCGGAGAGGATGTCTTGAGCGACTCAGGTAAAGCCTTTTCTGGTCTGTCTGCCTCCCTGGAGCCATGGAGCTGAGGGTCCTGGTCCCTTTGTTACCTTTGGTGTTTTGACTCTGGGGAGCAGGAGCTGTTGGTGGTCCTGATTACTGCAAGCGTCCTCCTGGTTAAAGACAGGCCTCCCTGAAGTGGATTCCACCTTCTTTGGGAACCTTAATCTGCGCTGTGTCTATCCTCACCCTGATCCCGCATCTTCATTTCAAGGGAAAAGTTGGTGGCCAACCCGTGTAGGAGTTCAAAGGCTGCTGCATGCTTTCCTGAGCAGAAACCTGTTAGTGCCAAAGTGGAAAGGGACTCAGGCCCTGGTTATAGGAAGTGAAAGACTCCCCCAAAAGACACAATATCTGTACAAGATCCTACTTAGGGCACAAGAAGTTAGAAGGAAACTGTATAGATGGTGGCCACTGATGTTCTTTCTCTCTGCCCCGCCCCCCCCCCCAAAAAAAAAGTGGGTCTTCTTGAAAACTAGATCCAGTTTTGCCTCCTAGCCATAATACCAGGCTTACTTTGAGATCTGAGTTGTGTTTTGTAACCCAGTGCTCTCGAAGATGAGGGTTGCCGCAGTCTGGCTGGGCACACAATCACGAGCCACCACACAGCTTGTAGATTCAAACAGCAACTCTTTACTCCCGAACTCACACCAGCCGTCCACAAACACGTTCTGGGGAAATCCACGTTCTCTGCCCAAATCCACCTCCACTGGGCTTCTATCTCCAAAATATACTGTCTGAATACCGTGAGAACTCAAGGGGAACTCAGGCAGCAGGATACGCCCTATTCCCAGGAGGAATAATCTTAAACCTGGAACCCCCTAAACCCAATTATCTTAAACCGGGAACACCCTAATCCACCTTGGTCCTTGAGCAAGGTCACCTACATTCAATGTCACTGCAAAATGTCAGCAACATGGGGTACACTGGCAAGGAAATTGTCATACCTACTTGGCTAATGGCTCCCAGCAGAGGGTGAGCACTTAGGACCCCTCCATAAATGCAAACATCCTGGTAGGATTCAGAGATTATTTCTTTGTGAGTATTTGCATCTTAAATGGATGGGAAGTGTTAAAAAAACAACAACAACAAGCTTTTACCTGGAGCTCTGAGAGTTCAGAACTTCACCCAAATACTAGAATAGCCCTTGTCATTGGAGCCTGAGGCTGGGTCTTCTTGGGACTTGAGAACCACTGTTTCCACATTGCACATGGATAAAAAGTATGAGTTTCCTTCAGGGCTAGGAACCTATCCTTCTAAGACTCCTGGAAGGGAACTTGGTGATAAGCCTGCAGTTTGAAAGGGTTCTATCCCTTTAATATCTGTGCTTTGATAGGTTTCAGTGAAGAAGCATTTCCTTCCAACAGCTGTATTCTTGGAAGAAAATCAAAACACAGGCTTAAGGGGACCCACAAGACTGGAAGAGCCTCCCATTTCAGTTTTAGAACAAATCCCACAAATTTGCAGTTTTCCATTCCCAATCAGATCAAGCCTAAGTTGTGTTTTGATTTTCATGCTTGCATTTTAAACAATAATTTTCTATCCTAGTGTGGTAGTAAATGAGGAGAGGAGGGAAAACCCACACAAGCTGCTACACGTTTTTTGTTGCTGTTATTGTTGGTGACTTAGGAGCTGCTCCCATTAAGGAGTGTGTAGCTGCTGTGAGTTATGGCTCTGTACTTAAGATTGGACCTTTGCTTGGTGAAAAACTGCCTACTGTATGAAACTCATATTTGTGAAACTAAAGTTATTTTTCTTCATCAGTTAATTAAAGTGTTCCTTGAGTTTAAGGAGTGAAAATCAAACTCAGCAATGAGTGTCGATAAAGGAGACTCCTGAAATGCAAAGATGGAAAGGTCCATGAGTCCATGGGGGCAGATTGCCTGGACATTATGCTAAAAGCTCCCATTACTGAATATCTGTTTTTATTAAAAGTGCTTTCCAGAATATCAAATCTGTTCCAGGCTTTTGAAACAAACCAGAGGAAAGGCAGTGAAAAAAAACAAAACAATAAGAAAAACAACCTGAAAAAAGTCATTGTTCTCATGAACTAATAGAGAACATCTGACTCTTTTATTTCCTTTTTCTAAAAAGTTAGTAGAGTATATTACAATGACTCCCAGTAATGTATTATGCACTTGCTAAAATTCACATAAAACTTTGCATAGCATTCTGAGCTAATAGTACTTAAAATATTTCTGATTATTTTCCATTTAGTGTTCATATGAATGTTGATATTGTGATTTCAATGTTGAATAAAATATGGTGGATCAAGAAGAGATAATAAATCAAAAAATCACATGTAAACTAAAAGTAATTACATATTTCCTAACTTCAATATAAATAAATTTAAAAAAAAATCAATGAAATCCCAGTGATGTGCTTACTTATTTCTGTATTTCAAAGCAAATGAAACAGTTTACATCTTGTTATCATGGAAACTTGTCAAAAAGGTAAGTTTTTCCTACAACTAAAATAAGAATGAGCAATATTTAAAGGAATACCTTCTTTTATTTTCAATATAAAATTAAACTGGAGAACCTGTTATTGATAAGTTGTCCAATGTTGGGGAAATTGAATAACGTGACATGATAATGCGTATGGATTAAGTGCCTTCTTATTGCTCATAGACTCTACAATCTGATATTCAAACATTATAACATATTGCCTTTGCTGTTCTACAACTCTCTGTAGGGTCACTCTTGTTTTCACCCGATAGAAGTAATTTTGACTAATGCTTCACTGGAAAGCAGAACAAGTGTATTTAGACATATATAGTTACCCTGACAATGAAGGTTTAGATTCAGTAACATTTAATAGAAGACAGTATTTGAAACACACAAAGATATGAGATAAGCTTGCAAATTGAATATTGAGATATGAGATAGATTTATTTTAGTATTTATTTTTTAGTTGTAGTTGGACACTATATCTTTATTTTATGTTTTTATTTTTATGTGGTGTTGAGGACAGAACTCAGGGCCTTGCATGTGTTAGGTGAGCTCTCTACCTCTGAGCCACAACCCCAAGCCTATAGGATAGATTTAAATTTTCTATAGTCATTCTTAATTTCTGAATCATTTCTGAGCTCTACTCATGTTCATAGAAAACATTACTATTTAATTTATTGTTTTTGCCATATTCTCAGATTTAAACTAACAATTCATAATTTCACCCTAAACATGAATGCAAGACCCTTTTCCCATTCAAAGCTTCCTAATGCTGATGTAATAAATTACCATAAATTCTGTGACTTAGATACATTTTATTCATATACAGTGCATGAATGTAGAAGTAGTTATGACTGGGCTAACCAAAGGTGTCAATATGGGTTCCTTTTTCCTCCATAGAAGGAGCAGAACAATATCAAACAAGTGTAGCAGAATTTAACTGGTCATTTTGAATGAGTTACACCAAAGTGCTCAGGGGCTTGTTCATATTCTGAATTTTTATATTTGAAAGCTTGCTACGGTTGCTTTATTGCAAATCAACAAGAATGATATGTAACAAAATGGCCCAAGCCAAGTGGCAGGAAGAAAAGACTTGAACATGAGTATGTACACTGATTTTGAAAGGCACAGCGGGTCTATTGGGATGACAGGTGGGATGGGGGTGGGCAGCAGGTTACACAGGTCACAGCCAAAGCTACGGGGCAGAAATGAAGTGCATAGGTCCTGGGCTCCCGATGCCCAGGAGCAACAGCTTATAGGCCCCCTCTTCCTGCTTCTGGCAGGTTCAGTTGAGTGACACTCGGAGGTAGGAGGTGGGCACATAGCCTTCACCTCCCTGTTTCTGCCGGACCCATGTCCAGCCATCGCCTTTGTCCTCTTCCATCAGACTGAGGTCCTCACCCTGGGTCATAGAGATGGTGCCCTCACTGGACCCTGTTGTGGGGTCGGCCCAGGTCTCGGCATTAGAAAAAATTGAACAAACTAGCCAGAGACACCAGAGCAACTGATGGGCCCCCACCCCTCCACCCCCATGTGTTCTCATCTTCAAAGTGGTAAATGGACACACACTGGCCTATGGGTGATGCAGGCTCCTCAAAATCCTCGTGGCACGGCGTGTAGATAGGGGTTTCCTGGCCCTCTTCTGAGGTGTGCTCTTCAGAGCAGTGTGGGGCAAGAAGGCAGATGGAGGCAGGTCCTCTGTGTCTCTCTGGCCATACCTGCTCTGGCCTCCTGGCTCACCTCTCCTTGTTGATCTGTGAAGCGTTTCTGCTACTGTCCCTGGGGACACTGGATGGGGGGTTGTGAGGACAGGTGTGCTGGCACCAGCTGTCCCCTAGGTTGCTTAGGACCCGGCTCTCAGCTTCTGCCAGCCAAGCCTTGGAGGATGAGATCACATCATCTCCAGGCCAGGGTTCAGAGGTGGCCCACCCTGCACCTGGATTCTTCCTGAGATCACCCAGGCACACCCAAGATGTTGATGAGAAACAACTGGATCCCTGTACCCCAGCCAGAAGTAACTTATCCAGGCTGGTGATGACTCTACCCCTCCCCAGGGCCTTCCCCTTACCTTGTGCTTCTGTACTTCCAATTTCAGCCATTTGATGTGGCTCAGTGTTTCTGTGATCTGGGGCTGCAAGCTGGCAGGGTCACCCATCTGGGGTGTCTTCTCATAACACACTTCATTTTCTTCAGAGATTCCCTGGGGCAAGACGGTGAAGAAAGGAGTAGTGGGTGAAGGCGCTCACAGCAAGGAGCAAGGCCACACAATGATCAGAACTCAAATGCGGGGGCCAGACATGGTGGTGCCAGCTACAGGGGAGGCTGAAGTATTAGGGTTGCTTGAGTCCAAGAGTTAGAGGCCAGCCTGGGCAATGTGGCCAAACCCACAAAAAAGAGCTCCAATGCTAGTAGGGCTCACTGCCTGGGTTGGCATCTTGGATTGGCATTTCCTGGTGGTGTGAGCTTAGGCTATAGAGCACTATCTGCACCTTAACCTTGAAAATGGGAATAAATGCATGTGTTTGCCATGTGGGCTGTTGTGAGGACTGGTACAGTACTTTTACACAGCAAGTCCTAACAAATATATATATATATATATATATATATATATATATATATATATATTATATATAGCTCTAGGGGGCTAAGAAGTAGCTCAATGTCAGAGCACTCCACTGGCAAGTGCAAGGCACTAGGTTTCATTGCCAGCACTGGAAATGGACAGGAAAGAAAGGAAACATAGTAAGAGAGTCAGAATCCTATCTGTGCTTATCATCTCTTAGAATAACCTAAGATATCCAGGAAGTCCATGTGAAGTGAGTAGAGTAGAGCCTGGAGCACAGTGGATGTCCGTGATTCTAGCTGCGGTTCCTGTCATTAGTCTCCCATTCCCATCTCCTCTATCCATCTGGGTAGTGGGAGCTGTAGAGCACTAGTGGGATATGGCAGACCTCAGCTCAGCTTCCTTTCAGTCATTACCTGACCCATGTCACAGATGAAGAAACTGAGACATGAAATGTTATATCAAGCTGCCCATTACCTCCAGGAGCTGGAATTCATGAGCAGGCTGCCTTGACTCTAGGCACATACCCTGTACCTGCTGCTCCACCATAGAAACCCAGAAACCACCCAGTGGAGGATGCAACTTCACCCCCGTCTGTCCAAGAGGTAACTCGCAGACAGCAAACTAGAACTTGACCACCTCCTGGCAAGTGGCGAACATCATTCCTATTATGTGCAGGACTGGGAAGAGGAATTTGCTACTTGGGAGAAAGTGAGTAAAGATTTTCTTTTTAATCTGGCAGATTTTTATTTTTAATATTTAAATGTTTGAATTATTAAATAGCCATATGCTTTTGTTTCCTTTTATCTCTCTAATGTGGTGGATTAGACTGCAAGGCTTCTTGATATTTTTTTTCCTTTTTTTTAGAGAGAGAGAGAGAGAGAGAGAGAGAGAGAGAGAGAGAGAGAGAGAATTTTAATATTTGTTTTTTAGTTTTTGGCGGACACAACATCTTTGTTTGTATGTGGTGCTGAGGATCGAACCCGGGCCGCATGCATGCCAGGCGAGTGCGCTACCGCTTGAGCCACATCCCCAGCCCCAAGGCTTCTTGATATTGAACCATGTTTGCATTGTTGGGATAATGCCCAATTGATTATGTATTTGTTTCTTTAAAAAAATAACCTTTTTCCTATTCTAGTGAAGGAGACATAACACAAAATTTCCTCTTGTGATTACTATGTAGCATGCAGTTCTGTGGCATTAGATACCTGCACCCAAGTAACACCACCATGCCATGTATTGTTTTGTAGTACATCAATAAATTTTCTTGCCAGGATTTTGTATCTAAAACCAGAAGTGAGGTAAAATGAGCTTGTAACTTCATTGACTTGAATTCTTGCTCACTGATTTGGGACCCAGGTTTCCCAGCCTTCTAAATAAGCTGGCAGCTTTCACTCTGTTTGCTAGGAATCCTTGCAGGGCAGTGAAGGCAACAGGTTCCTCCAGGCGCATGAAGAATCACCCATAAAACCTCCCTGCTGGTGTCTCTGTGACATTCTTGGGTGCCTTTGAGTGTAAGTATTTTATGGTTACTTTTTGCCTGTGCTAGGCAAGCACTCTACTGCTGTGCATACCGCTATTGTAAATATGACCCAGTGGCACTCCTCAGTCCCCTGCCTGGCCCCTCTGCCAGGCCCTACCTCTGATCCTCCTCCTTGTGCAGCTCCTGGTTGTGTTCTTCTAACTGACGCTGCAGCCACTTTCTCTGCTGCTCCAGGGGCAAGTGGCTAAAATCCTCTGAAGCCACAGTCTGCAAGGGAAAGAGAGGGTTGAGTCTGGGATTCTGAAGCTGAAGCTTCCAGGCGCTGCACACTCCTGAGGATTCAAGTGCACCTTCCTCCCCTTCCAAATCACTTGGAAGAAGGTCATGGACAGAGTGAAGAAGAAGTGGGGCCCAGCTGGCTGCAGGAAGCAAGCCTAGGGTCCACCACCACCTTGCTGATGAGAGGGCCAGTGCCCCCTCCTCCCACAGTCCTCACTTACCCCATGGCCTCCTGGAAGGATCTGGAAGGATGATAGCCACAGATTGCCTGACTTACTGATCTCACTCAATAAGACCATAGACATAGCTGGGAAGGGAACCCACGAGGCAAGGTCAAGGACATGACACCCTCTAGGGGGAAGAGGATTAGGGGGTGTGACTACCAGCTGGGTCCAGGAGGGGGCAGGCAAGGAGGAGGTGAGGGCAGAAAATCAAGATGGACAGAAGGATGAACATAAGTATGGATGCAGAGAAGCAAAAGCAAAAAAGAAATAAAAAAGTAGTAAGAAAATCCCAACTCAAGATGCATAACCACACAGAAAATACATGGAAGGGCAACACAAAACCTGAGAGGTAACAGGGAGGTCATTAGACTCACAGAAAGAGGTCACACCTCTCCCTATCCCATCTCCTACATCCCTTGACTATTAGGTCTAGGGGCTGGAACAGGGATGCTATAGTCCACTGGGCTTTCTGGACTCAGTTTAGAAGGAGGTACAGGAGGCATTTGCATGAAGAAAGGCTTCAGACAAAGGCCAAAGTGGCATGCCACTCATAGAGAGCTGTGGAAGGCAGGAAAGATCAGGGGTTACAGCTTAGGAGGAGAGGGCTGAACACCAGGATTGCTGGGGTCAGTGGGAGGTGATATAAGGCATACTAGGGAGTCAGGGGCTGTCCAAGATATAAACCGGTGGTGTTAGGGTTTATTTCTGTTGCTGAAAACACATAAACAAAAAAAAAATACCAAAACTATAGGGCATAAGGATCCATCAGCTGGATAGAGATCTGGGGTTAGGAGCACTCCTAAAAGACAGGAACACAAGCTGTCAGTCCAGCACGAACTCCACCAGCAGATCTTCTCCCAGCATCCCAAGCATCAGCAGACAGATGCCACAGGACAACACCCTGCCCTCCTCAGCCTCAGGGGACTCCCAGGCCAATGTGCTGCTGACTTGCCTTCCTTCTGTCCAGCCCAGGCATGTAGCCAAGAGGAAAATTCTTACCCAGGACTCAGCATTCCTGTGGCTGGGCTCAACTCCTTAGGGCCTCAGCTGTCCCCACTTACTGTCTTCCCACACAAGATTCAGGGCCCCTACCTTGCTCTTGTTGCCAAAAGGCCAGCGCTTGGCACGACTATGGCCAGGGCCCTGGAACTTAGGCTCTCCATCTGAGAGGGTGTCCAGGCCATTTTCTGAGTGTGCACAGATCACAGGCTGGCTGAAGTCTTCGAATTCCATGTCACCAGGGCGGGCATAACCTGACTTGTGCAGCTCTATGAGAACCTGGGTGTCCTGGGGGAAAGAACTGTGGGTGGCCAGTCAGGGGCAAGGCCCAGTGCCTAGTTTGGGAGATCCCCACAGTGCCCACTCATTGGCCTACTCAGGCACCCACATTCTTGGCATCCACAGCATTGGCAACCACCTTCATGGCCTCAAAGCACTTGGTAATGATGAGTAACAACTGCAGTTCCGTCTCTGACAGCAGCCAGTACCCTGACTTACTGATCTCACTGAAGGTGGCTCTACGCTCATCCTTGTCCTGCAGTTTCTGTGGGGACAGGGAAAAGGCATGAAACACATGGGTGGAGGCAGATCAGGTATGAAGCACTCTGCAAATATGTTGGTGCCCTGACTGTCAGCTGCCCAGTGTGGTGGGAAGACAGTCGAATATGGAGTACCCATACTCCTGTGGGTGGAGCTGCAACACAGGGCTGGGGTTGAAAAGGTGACCCTCGCCTAGGGTCTCAGGAAGATCTTCTCAAAAGAGGGTACAATGAAACAGGGCTTTGAAGACAAAAAACAAAACAAAACAAAAAACAGAAGCAGCACAGATGATCCCAGCACCCACACTGGAATAGAGACTGGAAAAGGAGGCTGAAAGAGAAGGCAGTTGAGACCTAGATGTTGTTAGAGCTGGGGCCTTAGTAAAATGAGTACAAATTTCAAAGGGAAAGAAAGGCATCCCTGGAAGAAAGCTTGAGTCAATGCACAACTCACTGTTACTTCAGGTTTCCAATTCTATTCCAATTTAGGAATGGGGACATGGCAGCTGGCGTCTTGACATATGTGTGAGAGTTGGGCCTGGGAGCTTAGAGCACTCACATCAAATATCTTGGGCATCTGTGAAACACAGAAGTGGGCCTGGTCTGTAGCTGGGCCGCATATTCATTCTTGCTTCCTTCTGCCACATAACTCCAAAGGTGGGCTTGCTGCTTGGCCTGAGGAATGCAAGGCAGAGGTAACTGCCAGATTCTGGCTATGTCCCACTCTGACCCCTCAAGCCTGTCACAGATCCCACATGCACCTTCTCCACATCGGCCTTGGTGGCATTGATATCCTGGTCTAGCCACTCAGCGGTCTGGGCTGCTTTCTCTGCCTCCCGGCAATCTTGCTCAAATTTATGTTTACTCTGTGGAAGAGACAGAAGCAGAGGGAAAGGGCCTCTCTCCCCATTAGGGGAGGTGGGAAACCAAGGACTTTAGGGACTGGTGGGAAGTCATCCAGCAGATAGGGGTCCGTAGGTATGCTGGAAGCACTTGGGAGAGGGGCGTGCTGGCCAGAAAGAGGGGGCAACTTTATGGATGGGCCACCCTCACCCTGCTCATAGGCCAGAGCCACCCACAACCTGTGGAACTCACATTTTCAAGCTGTTTGAAGCCACTTTCCAGCTGCTGATGAGCCCGCCATCCTTCCTGGAAGTGCTATGGAAAGGAGGGTGAGAAGGCTCATAAGGGTTCTGGCAGGTGCCTTCGGCAAGTCCCAGGGAATGGGCACCGCGCCATCTTCCTCTCCTGCTTCAACTCCTGTGAGTACTTGAGCAGCTCAGGACACACAAGCATGCTGAGGTTCTCAGCCACCAGTTCTTGCTGGCCTGCAACGTCATTCACCTCCTGGAGAATCTGTACAAAGGACTGCTTCTGGCTAAACCTGGGACTGGGGTCAGGAGGCTGGGATTAAGATTCTCCAGGAGCAGAATGCCCTAGGACCTGTTTACAGATGAGAAGGGATACACTCCAAACATTTATCCCCCAAACAGTTATAAGTTATGATCCATATCCCTTATCTCCAACCCTTGATTCAGATGTGATTTAGAACTCAGATTTGGGGACTTTGGTAAAGGGGTATAATTCTTATACAACTTTTATGTGCCCCTAGTGGGGCTGGTGGCCACATTCTGTAATCAAACATCATAATCATATCTACAGGGAGAAGCAGTAGTACAGTCCATGGATTATCATTTATAGGATCCTTACACCTCTTCCCCACATAAACGGACCCCAAATTCCAAAGCTGCTCAAGTCCATTCAACAAAATGATGCAATATTTGCAAAGAACCTATGCCCATCTTCCCACAGACCTTACAGCATCATTAGGTGATTTATATTACCTAATTCAATGTTGATGTCTTGGGCATAGTCATTGCACTGTATCATTTAGGAATTGATGACGCAGGAAAACAGGGTCTTGGTCTCCCGAAAGGCTGTAGGGGTGTTAAATGCAGCAAGGCACCTCCCTCATACAAATGTCCCCTAATCCTCCAGCTTCTGGAAAGTACGGCCAGTCTGGCAAGAGTCAAGGCCAGAAGGGCAGGGTTTGCAGCAGCTACTGGAGGGGGAAACCTCCTCATAGCCGGGGGTCAGGCACCAAGTTCCCTGATTCGGAGTCCTCCAAAGAGAGACTTAGCTTCCCCATTAACCCCACTACACCTCCAAAATAAATCCCACAGTGGGAGAGGAGGTGGAGATCTAGCTACCCTGCTGCACCCAGGAACCTAGGAATTCCACCGCCCCCAGAAAGGGGAGGGTTCCAAGGTACAGCTGAGGCTTCCTTGGTGGGGTAAGAGGCGCCAAGGAGCGGCCCGCCCTGGAGTGGTGTATTGGAGAAGGGCCAGGAGGGGACTGGGGCCAGGCCTCTCAGCCCTCTCCTGTTGCAGAAGCCTCCCTAGCTCCTACCTGTGGATTACAGACTGAAAAGCGCTCAGGATTTGAGGGTCCCACGTGGGGCGGAGGATGACTAGAGGGTCCCCTCCCTCTCCTGATGGGACATGCTCACGGCGGGCAGGGACCCAGGGGCCATAAGATGAGCTCCTGGCCTGACCAGGGCACGCAAAGTAGGTGACCTCGGCGGGTGCCCCAGCCTGGTCCTAGAACTCAACCCACCCGTGCCTCAGTTTCCCTTAGCCTGCAAGCTCTCCCTTAGCCTCGGGGTGCCCTGAGACTCGCTGTGAAACTCTGAGAGGGCAGAGGGCAAGAGGGTGGGGACCCAGGGGTCAGTGGAAGGCCAAGTGCCGAGTCCCCATTAAGGTACAGTGGGCACAAAGGGGAAAGTGTGCACTCCAGCAAGGCGGAACTTCGGCCGGTCTACCGCACTCACCCACAGCTCAGCTCGGTGCCCCAATCCATCTGCTTGTGCTGTGGGAGACGCTGCCGCCGCCACCACCGCCACCTCTGGTCGCTGCCCGGGGGAGCCTGAGCCCTGGGAGGTGCACCCGTCCCCCCATTTACCCTTGCTACGTCCACTTTCCTCCAGTCATGCCCCCTGCAATGCTGGGACCGCATCCTGGAGCCCTGAGGTCTGGGGACCCCAGGGAGGTGGGTTCAACAGATGCTCCGCCCACTTCAATAACCGTTGCCACCCTCCCACCCCGGACCGATCCCTTAAAGGACCCCCACCCATTTCCCAATCTCTGTGGCTGCTCTCATCCTGCCAGGTCACCCGTGCTGCAGATGCCTCTTCTTTCCCCCCTTTCCCCCAATCGTTCCTTAAAGGGCCCAGGCACCAGAGAACCCCACTCCGTTGCAGGGAGAACCCAAGGTCACCTGGCTCTTGTCGGCTGACCCTGCTCCAGGCTTCTAATTCCCTGGGACCAAGTGATCCTGCCTCCAGAGACAAGGGTGTGCCACTGCACCTGGCTTTTCCTTCTTCAACCATGAAAAATCTGAATTCAAAATCTGAGGCACTAGAGAGCCTAATAAAGGGAAGGATGGAAGGCATCAAATGTAGCTCATCTTTCTTGGTGTTGGTGCTTCCTTTGTTTGTCTCTTTGTTATCTGTCCCTGGGATTCCAGGACATCTCGCCAGCTAAGCCCTAAGCATATGCACTATCATGTCCGAGCTGTTCCTCCAACTGAAGCCAGAATTAAAAAAAAATAGGTAGTCAGTGTAGATAAATCGGACCAGGTTGAGAAAAACAGACCAAACCTGTTTGAAGACTCGCTTTGGGAGATTGAAATGTTAATTGCCCCAAAGCCTGGCCAATACTGCTCTTCCTCAAGAACTGTTAATAAAGCAACCCCTGAGCAGACAGGGACTGCTGATTAATTCACCCTGGGCTCCCCCCCCCATGCCAGCCAAGATCACCCCTCTCCCATCCCTCCAACCCACCTATTTACCAGTTTTTGGGTTTCCCACAGGCATCTCTCAGTCAGCTATATGGAATAAAGGGAAGTCAACAAGATATAGGGGAAGAATGTAAAATAATAAAGAAAACTTTAGATGTATAAAAGAAATAGGATTTCCTCATCCCAAAGATTCTGCCTTTTGGGTCCCTAATTCCTCTGGGGGGAAAGAAATCTGCCCTACTATGCTATAAATAAAGCTTCTTACTTTCTACTCTACACTAGCCTCAGTGTTTTTCTCTGGTGTTGGGACTTCAACATTTGAGGAAGCAGGACTTGTCAAGGTAATGGGTAACCAGTGGCATCACACTTCCTGCCATCATGGTTTTTCTTCTATGGAGGTTCAGTTCTGGCTGAGGAAGAAGGAATGGGCACTCACAACAATAAGACCAACCACATAGTGGGTAGGTTGTGCATTCTGAACTCTAGGAAGGGGAGATGGGTGGAAGTTGAGTTCAATTATGTGAAGTTCATCCCACCATGACTAATTAGTGAAACAAGACAACCCTAGCCCTTGATGCATGGGTCATCATCCTTAGTTTTCAATATTTTGAGGGTTGCCACATAGAGACCAAGTGAGTAAAGCATTCTTCAGGACAATATTTAGTATATTCCTACTCTTTAAACTATGCCTCTCTTTCTTTGGTGTTTCTTATTTTAAATTTTGCTGTGATAGAATTATAGCAGTTTTCTGAACATGGGGAATCATTCTACAAAATTATGGGAATTGAGAGTCTGTGTAGATTTGTGCATTTATAGGTGGTTGCTCTAATATGATTATGGCCCAGTGGACCCTTCAATTAGAATTTGGTATCAGGAGTCTTAACAGCATAAAAAATTTACCCTTCTTAGCCTGGAATGTAGCAAACACTGGATAATATCTTAAATGGAAGGGATATTTAAAGATCATATTGGTGCAATTTGGCAATATGATCAGTTACACCAATCAAAAAGTCAATTAATATTTCCTGATTGATGCGTTCTTATATAATACTGTGTATATATATATATATATATATATATGTGTGTGTGTGTGTGTGTGTGTGTGTGCGCGCGTGTGTGTGTATACAACTACTATAGTAGTTGTAGATGGAGAGAATGCCTTTATTTTATTTATTTATTTTTATGTGGTGCTGAGGATCAAACCGAATGCCTCACACATGCTAGGCAAAGGCTCTGCCACTGAGATAAGGACACATTCTGTTATATGACATTTTTATCAAACCATCTGCAATTGATTATTTCTATCAACAATCCCTGTTCTGATCAGTGTTAGGGGTCAAGTTGGCTAGGGTGTAGCCTCTATGTTTTGATGTGAGGTTAGTTTACTAATATGATTAAAGTTTATCATCTGCTGACTTACAGGGTGATTATCTCAAGTAATCTGAGTATGCCTGATTTAATTTATTTAGAGGTCTGGGTACCAAAACTGAGGTTCCCATGGAGATCAAGCAAATCCACCTGAGATTAGTAACTTGTACTGATGCCTGAGTGTTGATCCTCCCCTTCTCATTGTCCTAGCTCATAAATTTTGTCCCCACAGTCACATAGATCGTTTCCTCACAATAAATCTTTAATTTTTTTTTATTATTGACAGATATTTATTTTATTTATTTATATGTGGTACTAATGCTCTATTTGTGATCAAACTCTGGTTCATCGTGTAAAATTAATATATTTTAGATCAACTGGCAGACCTCATTATCTGAAATTATATTTTGTATTTGTCTAAAAAAAGTTACAATTTCAAAAACAATATTTATTGAGTTTAACAAAATTTAGTTGAGTTAAATCCACTGTATTTTTGGCGTACTGCTCTTTTGGTCTACTAAAAATTTTTATTCACTATGTGATATTCTCTGATCAATGTTAAGGTAAATAAGATAAAGATCCTACTCTGAAGAACTTTCTATGAAAATATATTCATTAATTATTGTAATATAAATTGGAAAGTACATGAAACAATAGGCAGCTAAATTACTTCCTGATCTCTGATGAAGTTATTATTTCCCATTAGGGTGATGTAATATTCCCTCATATTAAATAATATAATTACTTCTCTATCCAGACCCAACCTTGGACTTCAGTGTTGAAGCAAGCCATGGAGGTACTTATAATATATTCAGCTATGTAGGGACACTTAACACAGACCTCATGTTCACTTCTTATTAACCAAGTTTATTCCATAATGATTGTGTGTCATGATATTTTTATCAAACCATCTGCAATTGATTATTTCCATCAACAATCCCTGATCATTTCAGTTGATATGAACCATATTTGAAACAGTCTTAAAGTTGAAAGGAGCACTAGCAAAGTCCATGAATCTTGTAAAAGACTTACTTGTATCACATATGATTTTTTAATATTACCAGCATATAACTTAGAAATGAGAGAGAGTGGAGGAGAATTAGTTCAAAAATCACTAATAACTTTTATTTTATTCATCTTCAGGGAAGAGAAATTGGATTTAATCTTATCTGCTCTTGGAATATCAGTTTTCCTGCATAAGATTCATTATTATAATAAATGGGTTATTAGACTATGGGAAAATTATTAAGATATCCCCTACCAGATATTGTACTACTAATTTAGCATGACAATTTGGGGTATTTATTTCCCCCTTTTAAAAAATTAAAAAGAAAAAAATTCTTTTAATATGGAAAGCATAATTATAATAATATTTTTTAAAATATTTAAAATTTAAAAACCCATGGTGAGAAATATTGACAAAGTGGTAAAAATAAAAACAACTTGAAAACATACGTAATATTCATTGAAATTTATTTTATGTCAGAATAATTATATTTAAATTGACATGGTAATATATATTCACCAGAGAAACTTTCCAAATACCAATTTCTCTTTATTTCCAAATGTTTATAGATGTATAAGTTTCAGTAGTCTCTCTATAGCATAAGTTTCAGACTGATTGCTAATTTGGTTTTAGTGAAGAAAATGTATTTAGAATCAAGAAAATTGAGTTATCCTTATAAAGATAGGATTTGCCTGTAACTTTCTATATGACCTTAAGCAAGATCTGACTTCCAATTTTGTCCATTTATTTGTATTTGTGAACATGGATTTTTTTTATCATTTAGTTCATTATCTTTTTAATTGTGTGCATATTGAATTATAGAACACTGAAGTAAAAATCCACTGAGAACTGTAGTATTTAAAATATTATTTTGTTATGATATAATTAAATGTGTGTGCATGTGTGTGCACGCATGTGCATGTATAAGCTGTGGTGAGCCGCTTCTGCCGTTTCTGCAGATTATGGTCGCCATTACAAGATGACGCTGGCTCCGCTGTGGTCTGTGACAAACAACTCCTTATCTGGGAGAGTTGGCACATGATTTTTCACCACCCTGTGAGAAAGCTCCACGCGGCAGCTTTGCATTGGGGCTTGGGATGCTTTATTAAGGCTGGGAGGGGCATCCGAGAGGGAGAAGAAGAAATATCAAGGGCCTGAATAAACTGCTGAAAGAAGATTCCTGAGTTGCGTCTTCCTTGCGGGCAAGGGGTCGCGACAAGTGGTGCCGAGACCCGGGAACCAGAACTTTCAGCAGTCAGGGGTGGTGCACCGGTTAGTCCCAGGTAAGTGGGATCCGCGATCAAAGCGGGGTTAGTCCCTAGTAAGTGGGATCCGCGACCAAAGCGGGACAGCTCCTCTGTAATGAAAGAGAGAGCCTTATATTTTATTGCAGCTGCACTGTGTACTTTCGCTCCTACTTTCGCTTTCTTTTTTTTGTGCTTTCTTTGTTGTTGTGTCATGGGTGCCGCATCTTCAAGTCCGCTTCTCCTGGCCCTAGATGGCCTGTTACGTTCCAAGGGACTGGAAGTGAAACATAGTACTTTACAGAGATTTTTACAGAAGATAGATATCGCTGCACCGTGGTTCGCATTTTCGGGCAGCCTTACTGTGCCTAGTTGGGATAAATTAGGCAAAGATCTTGACTTTGCCTCTGAGCAGGGCATATTAGAGGGTGGGGTGATACCCCTTTGGAAAATGGTCCGTAGTTGCCTTACAGATGATAGATGTCAGGAAGCACTTACTAAAGGACAGGAGGTTTTAGAGCGATTGCATGAGGAAAAATCGGAGATGGCAGAAAGTGAAGTGACTCGGGAGGATGGGAGTGTGCAGAGCATGAGACGGG